GGGAGAGAGAGACACGGGGGGAGAGAGACACGGGGGGGGAGGGGAGAGACGGGGGGGGGGGAGAGAGACACGGGGGGGAGGAGAGACACGAGGGGGGGAGAGACACGGGGGAGGACACGAGAGGGGGAGAGACACGGGGGGGAGGAGACACGGGGGGGGAGAGAGAGACACGGGGGGGGGAGAGAGACACGGGGGGAGAGAGACACGGGGGGGGAGAGAGACACGGGGGGGGGAGACACGGGGGGGGGAGACAGACACGGGGGGGGGAGAGAGAGAGACACGGGGGTGGAGAGAGACACGGGGGGGAGAGAGACACGGGGGGGAGGAGGACACGGGGGGGGAGAGAGACACGGGGGGGGAGAGAGACACGGGGGGGGGAGAGAGGACACGGGGGGAGAGACACGGGGAGAGAGAGGACCACGGGGGGAGAGAGACACGGGGGGGAGAGACACGGGGGGAGGGGAGAGACACGGGGGGGGGGGAGACAACGGGGGGGGGAGAGAGACACGGGGGGGGGGGAGACACGGGGGGGGGGGAGAGAGACACAGGTGGGGAGGAGACGACACGGGGGGAGAGAGACACGGGGGGGGGGGGAGGGGAGACACGGGGGGGGGGGGGGGAGACACGGGGGGGGGAGAGAGACACGGGGGGGGGGGGAGACACGGGGGGGGAGAGACACGGGGGAGGGGGGGAGACACGGGGGGGGGGAGACACGGGGGGGAGAGAGACACGGGGGGGGAGGAGAGACACGGGGGGGGAGGAGAGACACGGGGGGAGAGACGGGGGGGGGGGAGAGAAACACGGGGGGGGAGACACGGGGGGGGGGGGAGAGACACGGGGGGGGGAGAGAGAGACAGGGGGGGGGGGGAGACACGGGGGGGGGGAGAGAGACACGGGGGGGGGGAGAGACACGGGGGGGGGGGAGAGAGACACGGGGGGGGGGGGAGACACGGGGGGGAGAGACGGGGGGGGGGAGAGAAACACGGGGGGGGGAGACACGGGGGGGGGGGGAGACACGGGGGGGAGAGAGACACGGGGGGGGGGAGAGACACGGGGGGGGAGAGACACGGGGGGGGGAGAGACACGGGGGGGGGGGAGACACGGGGGGGGAGAGAGACACGGGGGGGGGGGGGAGAGACACGGGGGGGAGAGACACGGGGGGGGGGGGAGACACGGGGGGGGAGACACGGGGGGGGGGGAGAGACACGGGGGGGGGGGTGAGAGAGACGGGGGGGGGGGGAGAGACACGGGGGGGGGGGGAGAGACACGGGGGGGAAAGAGACACGGGGGGAGAGAGACACGGGGGGAGAGAGACACGGGGGGGGGGGGAGAGACACGGGGGGGGGGGGGAGAGACACGGGGGGGGGGGGAGAGACACGGGGGGGGGGGGAGAGACACGGGGGGGGGGGGAGAGAGACACGGGGGGGGGGGGGAGAGACACGGGGGGGGGGGAGAGATGGGGGGGGGGGAGAGAGACACGGGGGGGGGGGAGAGAGACACGGGGGGGGGAGAGAGACACGGGGGGGGGGGAGAGACACGGGGGGGGGGGAGAGACACGGGGGGGGAGAGAGACACGGGGGGAGAGAGACACGGGGGGAGAGAGACACGGGGGGGGGGGAGAGACACGGGGGGGGGGGGAGAGAGACACGGGGGGGGAGAGAGACACGGGGGGAGAGAGACACGGGGGGGGGGGGAAGAGACACGGGGGGGGGGGGGAGAGAGACACGGGGGGGGGGGGAGAGAGACACGGGGGGGGGGGGGGGGAGAGACACGGGGGGGGGAGAGACACGGGGGGGGGGAGAGAGACACGGGGGGGGGGGAGAGACACGGGGGGGGGAGAGAGACACGGGGGGGGGGGGGAGAGACACGGGGGGGGGGGAGAGACACGGGGGGGGGGGGAGAGACACGGGGGGGGGGAGAGAGACACGGGGGGGGGGGAGAGAGACACGGGGGGGGGAGAGAGACACGGGGGGGGGGGAGAGAGACACGGGGGGGGGGGGGAGAGAGACACGGGGGGGGGGGAGAGAGACACGGGGGGGGGAGAGAGACACGGGGGGGGGGGAGACAGGGGGGGGGGGGGGAGACAGGGGGGGGGGGGGAGAGACACAGAGACAAGAAGGGGGAGACAGAGACACGAGGTGGGGGAGGAGAGAGACGCTGATGGTGCCGTGTCTCCGTGCGGTGTGCAGAGTCTGGAGTTCTCCGGCGGCGGAATTCTGCTGTGAGAACTTCTCAGAGTGTCTCAAGGTATCAAGACAGAGACACCTCCCCCCCCTCCCCGGGGGGTCTCAAGACAGAGACACCGATCCCGAGACCCCCCGGGAATCTCAAGACACTGGTTCTGAGCCACACCCCCAGGGGGCCTCAACTCTAAGACTCCGATCACCGATGAGACCGGCGTCTTCAAGACTCCGATCACCGATGAGACCGGCGTCTTCAAGACTCCGATCCCGATGAGACCGGCGTCTTCAAGACTCCGATCCCGATGAGACCGGCGTCTTGAAGACTCCGATCCCGATGAGACCGGCGTCTTCAAGACTCCGATCACCGATGAGACCGGCGTCTTCAAGACTCCGATCACCGATGAGACCGGCGTCTTCAAGACTGCGATCCCGATGAGACCGGCGTCTTCAAGACTCCGATCCCGATGAGACCGGCGTCTTGAAGACTCCGATCACCGATGAGACCGGCGTCTTGAAGACTCTGATCACCGATGATACCGGCGTCTTCAAGACTCCGATCACCGATGAGACCGGCGTCTTGAAGACTCCGATCACCGATGAGACCGGCGTCTTGAAGACTCCGATCCCTCAAGGACGCCCACCCCCCCCCCTCCCCAGCGTGTGAAAAAAATAAACGACCACATTCCACGTCATTAAATTGCTCCCAAGCCTACGATTCTGCCGTTTGCCCCGTGAACCACCCCGGGGGCAAAGCGCGTGCCTGTTTGATGGGCGAGCCTGTGTTGTCCGTGGTGCGTCAGTAAAGTATCTTCGAAAGTACTCCACGTCTCTCTCTCTCGTGCGTTTGGAGGAGGAGGGATGCTGCCTATGACCCCAAGAACACCATCCCCACCCGTCAAACATGGAGGTGGAAACATTATGCTTTGGGGGTGTTTTTCTGCTAAGGGGACAGGACAACTTCACCGCATCGATGGGACGATGGACGGGGGCCATGTTACCGTCAAATGTTTTGGGTTGAGAACCTCCTTCCCTCAGCCGGGGCATTGAAAATGGGTCCGTGGATGGGTATTCCAGCATGACGATGACCCAAAAACACACGGCCAAGGCAACAAAGGAGTGGCTCAAGAAGAAGCACATTAAGGTCCTGGAGTGGGCCTAGCATAGTCTCCAGACCTTAATCCCATAGAACATCTGTGGAGGGAGCCCAAGGTTCGAGTTTCCAAACGTCAGCCTTCGAAACCTTAATGACTTGGGAGAAGATCTGCAAAGAGGAGTGGGACAAAATCCTTCCTGAGATGTGTGCAAACCTGGTGGCCAACTACAAGGAACGTCTGACCTCTGTGATTGCCAACAAGGGTTTTGCCACCAAGTACTAAGTCATGTTTTGCAGAGGGGGTCAAATACTTATTTCCCTCATTAAAATGCAAATCAATTTATAACATTTTTGACATGCGTTTTTCTGGATTTTCTTGTTGTTATTCTGTCTCTCACTGTTCAAATAAACCTACCATTAAAATTACAGACTGATCATTTCGTTTGTCAGTGGGCAAACCGTACATAATCAGCAGGGGATCACAAATACTTTTTTTTCCCTCGCTGTACATAAGAGAACGTAACGTTTTAACGTGTTATTTACTTGTGTTATGTACGTGTGTGTTGTTTACGTGTTTTGTTTACGTGTTATTTAAGTGTGTAAATTACCCGTGTTATTTACGCGCATTTGTTTAAGCGCATTATCACCGCTCGAAAGGTTTTGGGGGAAAGACGTTCACCACACATTTTAACCGGCGATGGCTACTCGAGTTAAGGCGAACGAATGTTTATAGAGCCCTCGACGGGCGAGAGACAACATCGACCACGTGACTGTCACCCCTCCACCACCCCCCCCACCCACCGCGTGAACAACGTGGGATCTTTCGCAAAGGGGACACGCAAACGCGACGTTTCGGCCCACGGGGCCTTCTTCAGGACACCTGGCCAAGGCCTCGAGTGAGTTAGCTGGTGTGTGCGTGGTGTGTGCGTGCGTTGTGCAAGTAGTGAACATCGCCACTGGTCGGAGGGACAAAGGCGGCCGGGCGTGGCGGTGCTGGTGACCCACCCCCTCGTGTGCTGTGCCGGCCTTAATAGGTGCTCGCTAACAGCACTTGCCCCTACAGTCTGTTAAGGCTATATGGGGGGTCTTTGTGTGTATATGAGTGTGTGTGTATATGTGAGTGTGTGTGTATATGTGAATGTGTGTATATGTGAGTGTGTGTATATGTGAGTGTGTGTGTGTAAATGTGAGTGTGTATATGTGAGTGAGCGGTAGTGTAGCGGTTAGCGCTACGCTGCGCTATGAACCTGGCAACCCGGGTTCGATTCCCGCTCACGACCAACACCAGGGACGATTATCTGATCCGGTCCCGGGCCTCTCCTAGGTCGACTTAGCCTCAAATGAGTACCTGGTGCGGTGTGTAAACATCACCACTGGGGAGACAAAGGCGGTCGGGCGTGGTGCTGCCCACCCACCCCCTCGTGTACCGTTCCGGCCTTCATAGGTGCTTGCTAACAGCACTTGCCCCTACAGTCTGTTAAGGATACACGGGGGATCTTTGTATATGTGAGCGAGTGTGTGTATGTGAGCGAGTGTGTGTGAGTGTATATGTGAGTGTGTATGTGAGTGTGTGTGAGTGTGTGTATATGTGTGTGTGTGTATATGTGTGTGTGTATGTGAGTGTGAGTGTGTATATGTGAGTGTGTGTGTGTATATGTGAGTGTGTGTATATGTGAGCGTGTGTGTGAGTGTACGTGTATATGTGAGGGAGCGATAGTGTAGCGGTTAGCGCTACGCTGCGCTATGAACCTGGCGACCCGGGTTCGAATCCCGCTCACGGCCAACACCACCAGTGACGATTATCTGAACCGGTCCCGGGCCTCCCCTAGGTCGACTCAGCCTCAAATGAGTACCTGGTGCGGTGTGTAGTAAACATCGCCACTAAGAAGACAAAGGTGGTCGGGCGTGGTGCTGGCCACCCACCCCCTCGTGTACCGTTCCGGCCTTCATAGGTGCTCGCTAACAGCACTTGCCCCTACAGTCTGTTAAGGCTATATGGGGGATCTTTGTATATGAGCGAGTGTGTGTGAGTGTGTATATGTGAGTGTGTGTGTATATGTGAGTGTGTGTGTATATGTGAGTGTGTGTGTATATGTGAGTGAGTGTGTATATGTGTGTGTATATGTGAGTGTGTATATGCGAGTGTGTATATGTGAGTGTGTGTATGAGTGTGTGTATGCAAATGTGAGTGTATATGTGTGTGTATATGTGAGCGAGTGTGTATGTGAGCGAGTGTGTATGTGAGTGAGTGTATATGTTAGTGTGTGTATGTGAGTGAGTGTATATGTGAGTGTGTATGTGAGTGCGTGTGTGGGGAGCGGTAGTGTAGTGGTTAGCGCTACGAACCCGGTGACCCGAGTTCGATTCCCCGCTCACGGCCAACACCACCAGTGACGATTATCTGAACCGGTCCTGTGCCTCCCCTAGGTCGACTCAGCCTCGAATGAGTACCTGGTGTGTGGTGATGGGTGTGTGTTGTGTAAGTAGTGAGCATCGCCACTGGGGGAGAGACAAAGGCGGCCGGGCGTGTGACTGGACCAGCGACTGGACGAGCGACTGGACGAGCGAGTGATTGGACGAGTGACTGGACGAGCGAGTGACTGGACGAGCGAGTGACTGGACGAGTGACTGGACGAGCGACTGGACCAGTGACTGGACGAGCGAGTGACTGGACGAGTGACTGGACGAGCGACTGGACGAGCGACTGGACCAGTGACTGGACGAGCGAGTGACTGGACCAGTGACTGGACGAGCGAGTGACTGGACGAGTGACTGGACGAGCGAGTGACTGGACGAGTGACTGGACGAGCGACTGGACCAGTGACTGGACGAGCGAGTGACTGGACGAGTGACTGGACGAGCGACTGGACGAGTGACTGGACGAGCGACTGGACGAGCGAGTGACTGGACGAGCGAGTGACTGGACGAGTGACTGGACGAGCGAGTGACTGGACGAGCGAGCGACTGGACGAGCGAGTGACTGGACGAGCGAGTGACTGGACGAGCGAGTGACTGGACGAGTGACTGGACAAGTGACTGGACGAGCAAGTGATTGAACGAGTGAGTGACTGGACGAGTGACTGGACGAGCGACTGGACCAGTGACTGACTGGACGAGTGACTGGACGAGCGACTGGACGAGCGAGTGACTGGACGAGCGAGTGACTGGACGAGCGAGTGACTGGACGAGTGACTGGACGAGCGAGTGACTGGATGAGCGACTGGACGAGCGACTGGACGAGCGAGTGACTGGACGAGCGAGTGACTGGACGAGCGAGTGACTGGACGAGTGACTGGACAAGTGACTGGACAAGCAAGTGATTGAACGAGTGAGTGACTGGACGAGTGACTGGACGAGTGACTGGACGAGCGAGTGACTGGACAAGCGACTGGACAAGTGACTGGACGAGCGAGTGACTGGACGAGTGACTGGACGAGTGACTGGACAAGTGACTGGACGAGCAAGTGATTGAACGAGTGACTGGACGAGTGACTGGACGAGTGACTGGACAAGTGACTGGACGAGCGAGTGACTGGACGAGTGACTGGACGAGTGACTGGACGAGCGAGTGACTGGACGAGTGACTGGACGAGCGACTGGACCAGTGACTGACTGGACGAGTGACTGGACGAGCGACTGGACGAGCGAGTGACTGGACGAGCGAGTGACTGGACGAGTGACTGGACGAGCGAGTGACTGGACGAGCGAGTGACTGGACGAGCGAGTGACTGGATGAGCGAGTGACTGGACGAGCGAGTGACTGAGCGAGTGACTGGACGAGTGACTGGACAAGTGACTGGACGAGCAAGTGATTGAACGAGTGAGTGACTGGACGAGTGACTGGACGAGCGAGTGACTGGACAAGCGACTGGACAAGTGACTGGACGAGCGAGTGACTGGACGAGTGACTGGACGGGTGACTGGACAAGTGACTGGACGAGCAAGTGATTGAACGAGTGACTGGACGAGTGACTGGACAAGTGACTGGACGAGCGAGTGACTGGACGAGCGAGTGACTGGACGAGTGACTGGACGAGTGACTGGACGAGCGAGTGACTGGACGAGTGACTGGACGAGCGACTGGACCAGTGACTGACTGGACGAGTGACTGGACGAGCGACTGGACGAGCGAGTGACTGGACGAGTGACTGGACGAGTGACTGGACAAGTGACTGGACGAGCGAGTGACTGGACGAGTGACTGGACGAGTGACTGGACAAGTGACTGGACGAGCAAGTGATTGAACGAGTGACTGGACGAGTGACTGGACAAGTGACTGGACGAGCGAGTGACTGGACGAGCGAGTGACTGGACGAGTGACTGGACGAGTGACTGGACGAGCGAGTGACTGGACGAGTGACTGGACGAGCGACTGGACCAGTGACTGACTGGACGAGTGACTGGACCAGCGACTGGACGAGCGAGTGACTGGACGAGTGACTGGATGAGCGACTGGACGAGTGACTGGACGAGCGAGTGACTGGACGAGTGACTGGACAAGCGACTGGACGAGCGACTGACTGGATGAGCGACTGGACAAGCGACTGGACGAGCGACTGACTGGACGAGCGACTGACTGGACGAGCGACTGACTGGACGAGCGAGCGACTGACTGGACGAGCGAGTGACTGACTGGACGAGCGACTGACTGGACGAGCGACTGACTGGACGAGCGACTGACTGGACGAGCGAGCGACTGAACGGACGAGCGACTGGACGGACGGACGAGACGCAGTGTCGCGCCTCTTCTCTCTAGCGAATCACCGAGCCTCTCCCAATGCTGAGGAGCGAGCGGCCGGCCCGCCGGTCGGCCGCAGCAGCAGGCCCCCCCTCCCCCTCCTCCTCCTCCTCTTCCTCCTCCTCCTCCTCGCCCGCCGGCCGTGCCAAGGAGGCTCCACGACCCGGTGGGTCGGAGCGGAGCGCCGAGCGTCCCTGCCGTGAGACCAACGCGAGCGTTGACGCTGGCGGCGAAAGCTCAACCCCCTGAGCCGAGCTACGGGGTGCCCCCCACGGGGTGCCCCCCACGGGGTGCCCCGAGCGTTCTCCGGCCTGACCCTGGGTGGGAGCGAGACCACGAAGGCAGCCCCCCCGCCCCCCCAGCCCCCCCCCCACCGCCCCCCGCCCCCCGGGGTCGTGAGCGCTCTTTCACAATTGCTTATGCCTCTTAAAGTGTAGAAGGTGGAGGGTTTGTTACCCGCAAACGTTGCTTGACAACGACGACGATGACCATGACAACGACCATGACAACAATGATGATGACCATGACGATGATCATGACCATGACGACGACGATGACAACAATGATGATGACCATGACGATGATCATGACCATGACGACGACGATGACAACAATGATGATGACCATGACGATGATCATGACCATGACGACGACGATGACAACAATGATGATGACCATGACGATGATCATGACCATGACGACGACGATGACAACAATGATGATGACCATGACGATGATCATGACCATGACGACAACGACGATGACAACAAAGATGATGACCATGACGATGATCATGACCATGACGACGACGATGACAACAATGATGATGACCATGACGATGATCATGACCATGACGACGACGATGACAACAATGATGATGACCATGACGATGATCATGACCATGACGACGACGATGACAACAGTGATGATGACCATGACGATGATCATGACCATGACGACGACGATGACAACAATAATGATGACCATGACGATGATCATGACCATGACGACAACGACGATGACAACAATGATGACCATGACGATGATCATGACCATGACGACGACGATGACAACAATGATGATGACCATGACGATGATCATGACCATGACGACGACGATGACAACAATGATGATGACCATGACGATGATCATGACCATGACGACGACGATGACAACAATGATGATGACCATGACGATGATCATGACCATGACGACGACGATGACAACAATGATGATGACCATGATGATGATCATGACCATGACGACGACGATGACAACAATGATGATGACCATGACGATGATCATGACGACGACGATGACAACAATGATGATGACCATGACGACAACGACGATGACAACAATGATGATGACCATGACCATGACGATGATCATGACCATGACGACGACAATGATGACAATGACCATGACAACAACGACGATGACAACAATGATAATGACCATGACGACGACGATGACAACAATGATAATGACCATGACGACGACGACAATGATGATGACCATGATGATGATCATGACGATGACAATGATGACAATGACCATGACGACGACGACGATGACAACAATGATGATGACCATGACGACGACGACGACGATAATGATGATGACCATGACGATGATCATGACGACGACAATGATGACAATGACCATGACGACGACGACGATGACAACAATGATAATGACCATGATAACGACAATGACAATAACCATGACAACAACAATGACAATAACCATGACGATGACAATGACCATGACGATGACGAGAATAACCATGACAACGACAATGACAATAACCATGACAACGACAATGACAATAACCATGACGACAACAATGACAATAACCATGACGATGACAATGACCATGACGATGACGACACTAACCATGACAACGACAATGACAATAACCATGACAACAACAATGACAATAACCATGACGATGACAATGACCATGACGATGACGACAATAACCATGACAACGACAATGACAATAACCATGACAACGACAATGACAATAACCATGACGATGACAATAACCATGACGATGACAATAACCATGACAATAACCATGACGATGACAATAACCATGACAACGACAATGACAATAACCATGACGATGACAATGACCATGACGATGACGACAATAACCATGACAACGACAATGACAATAACCATGACAACGACAATTACAATAACCATGACGATGACAATGACCATGACGATGACGACAATAACCATGACAACGACAATGACAATAACCATGACAATAACCATGACAATAACCATGACGATGACAATAACCATGACGATGATGACAATAACCATGACAACGACAATGACAATAACCATGACAACAACAATGACAATAACCATGACGATGACAATGACCATGACGATGACGACAATAACCATGACAACGACAATGACAATAACCATGACAATAACCATGACAATAACCATGACGATGACAATGACCATGACGATGACGACAATAACCATGACAACGACAATGACAATAACCATGACGATGATGACAATAACCATGACGATGACAATAACCATGACGATGACAATAACCATGACGACAATGACAATAACCATGACGATGACAATAACCATGACAACGACGATGACAATGACGACGACAATGACCATGACAATAACGCCGCCGCAGCCTGCCACCTACCGGCTGCCACCGCTGCCGCCGCTGCCGTCGATCCACCGCCGCCGCCGCCGCCGCCGCAGTCGGAGGACCGCGGGCCCAACCCCCCGCCTCGCCTGGGGGCTCTGCCCGGCCCAGCGGGGGGAAGCTGGAGTCCCAGCTGGGGTGGTGGCGGTCCGCTAGGGTGGCCGGGCGCGGGCGGTGCAGGCCGCGGGTTCCCTCCACCGGGGAGAGTTCCACCGTGGACGACGCCTGAAGGCGGAAACCACCGCCGCCGCCGCCATCGCCGTGGCGACCGCACCGCCATGACCACCGCCGTCACCACCATCACCATGGCGACCACCACCGTCACCACGGCGACCAATAGCAAAAGCCGCCGCTGCTGCCGCGACGACATCATGTCACCGGTCTCACCACGCCCTCACCACGCCCTCACCACGCCCTCACCGCGCCCTCACCGCACCCACGGATCTCACCGCACCCACGGATCTCACCGCACTCACGGATCTCACCGCACTCACGGATCTCACCGCACTCACGGATCTCACCGCACTCACGGATCTCACCGCACTCACAGATCTCACCGCACTCACAGATCTCACCGCACCCACGGATCTCACCGCACTCACGGATCTCACCGCACCCACGGATCTCACCGCAACCACAGATCTCACCGCACTCACCGCACCCACGGCCCTCACCGCACTCACAGATCTCACCGCACTCACAGATCTCACCGCACTCACAGATCTCACCGCACTCACAGATCTCACCGCACTCACGGATCTCACCGCACTCACAGATCTCACCGCACTCACGGATCTCACCGCACTCACGGCCCTCACCGCACCCACGGCCCTCACCGCACCCACAGATCTCGCCGCACCCACGGCCCTCGCCGCATCCCACGGCCCTCACCGCACCCACAGATCTCGCCGCACCCACGGCCCTCGCCGCACTCGCAGATCTCGCCGCACTCACCACCTTTACCGGGCACTCGCCCGCTCTCACCGCGCCCCCTCACACCAACCTCACCGCGCTCACCGGCCACTCACCGCTCTCACCGCGCTCACCGCCTCCCTGCGCTGCCAGGTGACGCCGCCGCCGGCTCCGGCTCCGTACTCCGCCGGCGGCCCCAGCGAGGGGACGTGGGCCTCCGTGACGGTGACACCCAGCGCCGGGCACAGGCAGTCGCAGAGGCAGAAGCAGAGGCAGCGGGCGGAGCGCAGGGAGCACACCCGCACGTCGTGGTCCCAGTGGAAGGCGCACCTGGACGGGCGCGGCGACACCATCGTGGCGGTACGGCCACGACCACGCGGGATCCCTCGGCAACCCCCGCGGGATCCCACGGCAACCCCCACGGGATCCCACGGCAACCCCCGTGGGATCCCTCGGCAACCCCCACGGGATCCCACGGCAACCCCCACGGGATCCCACGGCAACCCCCACGGGATCCCAAGCTCCAAACGTACAGCAGCAGGCGTCGGTCGGGATCGAACCCACGACCTCCGGTGTACCAGGCGAGGTAGTTAACATCTCACCACCGTGGTGATGATGATGAGAGAGACGCAGACTACAAATATACAGCAGCAGGCGTCGGTCGGGATCGAATCCCACGACCTCCGGTGTACCAGGCGAGGCAGTTAACATCTCACCACTGTGGTGACGACTACAAATATACAGCAGCAGATGTCAAGAGTCGGGATCGAATCCCACGACCTCCGGTGTACCAGGCGAGGAAGTTAACATCTCACCACTGTGGTGACGACTACAAATATACAGCAGCAGATGTCAAGAATCGGTATCGAATCCCACGACCTCCTGTGTACCAGGCGAGGTAGTTAACATCTCACCACTGTGGTGATGATGATGATGATGAGAGAGAGACGCAGAACACAAATGTACAGCAGCAGGCGTCAGTCGGGATCAAACCCACGACCTCCTGTATACCAGGCGAGGTATCTAACATCTCCTGGCCACCGTGATGATGATGATGAGAGTGACGCAGACTCCGAATATACAGCAGCAGGCGCCAGAGTCGGTATCGAATCCCACGACCTCCTGTATACCAGGCGAGGTAGCTAACATCTCCTGGCTACCGTGGCTGGCCAACTCGATTCAACCCCTCCGGAAACACCACCCACACCACCACCACCCACGTTTCGCAAGCGTAGAGAAGGGAGGGAATGACCGTGGCCGAGAAGACCCGAAGCTTCGTGCGGAGCGACAGACCAGGTAGCTTCCACACAGCGTTACGCAACCGATGAAAAGATATTTCCGCTCGACTGATTCGGAGTGAGACCTCTGCTGTTAAACTGGAGCCGGTCATAAGCACACTGCCCAGGTGTGGGAAACTCTCCACTCTCTCCACAACTACCCCATCACCGATTGGGAGTTGTGGGGGTGGAGTGTCCGATGGTACAAAATACCCCGGCTAGGTGCTTAGTTTTGGTGGGGCTCATGGTAAGGCCCCACCTCTTAGTGGCACGCTCCAGTCTCAGCAGCAGCGCCTCCAACTCCTCCTCTGAGTGAGCTGCAATTACTAAATCATCGGCATACATAACGTGGTTGAGCAATAGGGAGCCATCCCGTGACCGCACCCGGGCATCGATCAGCCTCCCATTGTATCTGTACCAGATGGAGATTCCCCCGGTACAGCTACTTAAGGCTTCACGAACTACGTGGTCAAAATAGATGTTAAATAATGTTGGAGCCAGAGGACATCCCTGTCGCACCCCAAGGTGTACAGGGAATGGCTCTGACTCCCGGCCACGTAGTTTTACCCGGGCCAGCTCACCATCATGAAGGTCCTTAATGAGCGTGATCAGAGGGTCAGGGACTCCGAAAGCACAAAGAACAACCCAGAGCCCAGACCTACTGATGGTATCATAGGCCTTGACCAGGTCAATGACGCAGAGGTGTAGGTCTTGTTGGAATTCCCTACACCTTTGCTGTATAAGACGGACAGAAAATATGGCATCTGTGCAGGACCGCCCTTTCCTGAAACCGCATTGGGGCTCCGCAAGCCTCTCCTCAGCGTGCCTAGCAAGGCGATGTTGAATAATCCTTGCCAGGACCTTTCCCGGCACACTGAGGAGTGAGATGCCCCTGTAGTTGTTAGTCTGTGCGGTCCCCCTTCTTAAACAGGGCGACCAATAGGACATCCTTCCAATCCTGCGGAACCCATCCAGTGTTCCAGACTGTTATGATGTCACATATGGCAGTCTGTGCACAAACGCCACCCTCCCTCAGCATTTAACTTGGGAGATCATCTCTGCCCGGTGCCTTTCCAGGCCTCAGACTCTGGATCGCCTTCAGTACTTCCTCAATAGATGGCATCTCAGCCACCCACTCACAGGGGGTAACTTCTTCCCCCAAAATTTGAGGCACCGTAGCCTCAGCAGGGTCATCCCCACTTTGTCCCATGATGTTTTCCAGGCTGAGGGATTCCCCCTCTCCCAGGACCTCACAGTAATGCTCAGCAAATCTGCAAACCTGTTCCTGGGGGTCGGAGATTGGATCACCATTCTTTCCCCTAACGAGGGTAATAGGTCTGGCGCTGCAGGTTACTTTTTTGATGGAGTTAAATAGAGATTTGTGATCATGGGCCACTGAGGCAGACTCCATCTCCTCAGCAACCTACGACCACCACCCATCCTTGCAGCGCCTCACGGCTCTCCAAACCTCCGAGCGAAGGCTGCGGTAAGCCTCTTTATTCTCCGACGTGGGAAGCTGTAGCCGATGAGAGTGGGCCTGTCGCTTTTTCTCAACCATCCTGAACACCTCCTCTGTCAGCCAGGGTCTCTGGGGAGGTCTGGACCGCGTACCCAAAGCAGCCATTGCAGCTGCATGAGTCACAGTCCAAAACCTCGCCCATTTACCGTCGACATCAGGAGTGGGGGACGATGCCAATCCCCAGCCGCAAGCGACGATGAAATTCTCGCTTGCAACTTCCATCAGCTAGCTGAGCCAAGGCCACCTTAGGTTGGAATGGGGTCCTGGGTGTACACCCACCACACGAGTGGAAGAATGGCAGGCGCATCTTACAGATGACTAGTCGATGGTCAGAGGGCAGATCAGCTCCACGGTAGGTCCTGGTGTCAAGGACATGGGCCCGCATCCGCTGTTCCGTCACTATGTAGTTCAGCAGATGTTCTTGCTTGGACCCGGCATGCATTAATGATGTTGTGTGGATGCGCCGGTGTTGGAACAGTGTGTTGGTAATTACAAGCCCATGGGCTGCACAAAAATCTAGCAGCCTCCTACCGTTGTTATTGAGATGATCTAGCCCATGCCTTACAATCACTCCAGACCAGGTGCCACCCACACACCACCACCACCCACACCACCACCACCACCACCACCCACACCACCACCATCCACACCACTACCACCACCACCCACACCACCACCTGCCAAACCACCACCACGCACACCATCACCACCCACTCCACTACCATCACCCCCCACACCACCACCACCCACACCACCACCACCACCCTCGCCACTACCACCACCACCCACACCACCACCACCACCACCACCCACACCACCACCACCACCACCACCACCCACACCACCCAAACCACCACCACCACCATCCACACCACTACCACCACCACCCACACCACCACCTGCCAAACCACCACCACGCACACCATCACCACCCACTCCACTACCATCACCCCCCACACCACCACCACCCACACCACCACCACCACCCTCGCCACTACCACCACCACCCACACCAACAACAACAACAACAACCGCCATTCGCCACTAAGTGGCGGTGACGTCACCACGACGCTTGTGCCAGGCTATGTGCACCCTGAGGCCACGTGAAGTGTCGAACGCCCGCTGGCAGGTGGTCACGGGGCAGACCCAGGTGCCACGGGTCGACTGACTGAGATGACTGGCTGATGCACCACCTGTGCCCCCTACTGTGCCAACCTGCTGTGCTTTAGCCACCCGGCGCTCCGCTCGCTGTTGTGAGCGTCGCTCCTCCGCCCTCCGTTGTTGTTGGAGGGCGACTGCCTCCAACTGCCCAGTAGCATCCTTCACGAGCCTCCTCCACAGAGGCCGATCTTGACACCGCTGGTACCAGTCATCGGCAAGTCCACTCAGCTCCACGTCCTCCTGTACCACATCACTCCATCTCTTCTCTAGCCCGTGCCGCGCCCGCTTAGCCCCCTCAATCCGGCCAACCAAAAAGCTGTTTCGGCATGCGGTGGCTGGGCATGCGGGCTACATGACCCAGCCATCGCAGCCTTGCCTGCCGGAGGAGCTCACCGATGGGACCCTGCCCAGATCTTTCAAGGATTTGTGAGCTCCTCACACAATCCAGTCTGGTTAAACCCAGGATGGATCGTAGGCAGGCCAGCCTAAATGTTTCTAACCGGCGAAGATGTTCCATTAGGGGGGTCCACGTTTCGCAAGCGTAGAGAAGGGAGGGAATGACCGTGGCCGAGAAGACCTGAAGCTTAGTGCGGAGCGACAGACCAGGTAGCTTCCACACAGCGTTACGCAACCGATGAAAAGATATTGCCGCTCGACTGATTCGGAGTGAGACCTCTGCTGTTAAACTGGAGCCAGTCATAAGCACACTGCCCAGGTATGGGAAACTCTCCACTCTCTCCACAACTGCCCCATCACCGATTGGGAGTTGTGGGGGTGGAGTGTCCGATGGTACAAAATACCCAGGCAGGTGCTTAGTTTTGGTGGGGCTGATGGTAAGGCCCCACCTCTTAGTGGCACGCTCCAGTCTCAGCAGCAGCGTCTCCAACTCCTCCTCTGACTGAGCAGCTATTACCAAGTCATCAGCATACATAACGTGGTTGAGCAATAGGGAGCCATCCCTTGACCGCACCCGGGCATCGATTAGCCTCCCATTATATCTGTACCATATGGAGATTCCCCCGGTACAGCTATTGAAGGCTTCACGAACTACGTGGTCAAAATAGATGTTAAATAATGTGGGAGCCAGAGGACATCCCTGTCGCACCCCAAGGTGTACAGGGAATGGCTCTGACTCCCGGCCACGTAGTTTTACCCGGGCCCGCTCACCATCATGAAGGTCCTTAATGATCGTGAGCAGAGGGTCAGGTACTCCAAAAGCACGAAGAACGACCCAGAGCCCAGGCCTACTGATGGTATCATAGGCCTTGACCAGGTCAATAAAGCAGAGATGTAGGTCTTGTTGGAATTCCCTACACCTCTGCTGTAGCAGACGGACAGAAAATATGGCATCTGTGCAGGACCGCCCTTTCCTGAAACCGCATTGGGGCTCCGCAAGCCTCTCCTCAGCGTGCTTGGCAAGGCGATGCTGAATAATCCTTGCCAGGACCTTTCCCGGCACACTGAGGAGTGAGATGCCCCTGTAGTTGATAGAGTCTGTGCGGTCCCCCTTCTTAAAAAGGGGGACCACCAGGGCATCCTTCCAATCCTGCGGAACCCGTCCAGTGGTCCAGACTGTTGTTATGATGTCATATAGGGCAGTCTGTGCACAAACGCCACCCTCCCTCAGCATTTCGCTTGGGAGATCATCTCTGCCCGCTGCCTTTCCTGGTCTCAGACTCCGGATCGCCTTCAATACTTCCTCGGCAGATGGCACCTCAGCCAGCCACTCACAGGGGGTGACTTCATCCAATATTTGAGGCACCGCAGCCTCAGCAGGGTCATCCTCACTTTGTGCCACGGTGTTTTCCTGGCTGAGGGATTTTCCCTCCCCCAGGACCTCACAGAAATGCTCAGCAAATCTGCGAACCTGTTCCTGGGGGTCGGAAATTGGATCACCGTTTTTTTCCCCTAATGATGGTAATAGGTGTGGCGCTGCAGGTTACTTTTTTGATGGAGTTAAATAGAGATTTGTGATCACGGACCACTGAGGCAGACTCCATCTCCTCAGCAACCCGCGACCACCACCCATCCTTGCAGCGCCTCACGGCTCTCCGAACCTCCGAGCGAAGGCTGCGGTAAGCCTCCTCATTCTCTGACGTGGGATTCTGTAGCCGATGACAGTGGGCCTGTCGCTTTTTCTCAACCATCCTGAACAACTCCTCTGTCATCCAGGGTGTCTGGGGAGGTCTGGACCGCGTACCCAAAGCAGCCATTGCAGCTGCATGAGTCACAGTCCTAAACCTCGCCCATTTACCCTCGACATCAGGAGGAGTCGGGGACGATGCCAATCCCAGCCGCAAGCGATGATGAAATTCTCGCTTGCAACTTTCATCAGATAACTGAGACCAGGCCACTTTAGGTTGGAATGGGGTCCTGGGTGTACACCCACCACCGGAGTGGAAGAATGGCAGGCGCATCTTACAGATGACTAGTCGATGGTCAGAGGGCAGATCGCTCCACGGTAGGTCCTGGTGTCAAGGACATGGGCTCGCATTCGCTGGTCCGTCACTATGTAGTCCAGCAGATGTTCTTGCTTGGACCCGGCATGCATCCATGATGTTGTGTGGATGCGCCGATGCCGGAACAGCGTGTTGGTAATTACAAGCCCATGGGCTGCACAAAAATCTAGCAGCCTCCTACCGTTGTTATTGAGCTGATCTGGCCCATGCCCTCCAATCACTCCAGACCAGGTGCCAGTATCATGACCAACTCGGGCATTGAAGTCACCCAACATGATGACTCTATCCCGAGGGGCCACTTTAGCCAGCACCTGTGACAGGTCATAGAAGGCATCTGACTCATCGGCTTTGCCTGCATCCCTCCACGGATGTTCATCTTCGGTGGGGGCATAAGTAACCACGACCACCATTCCTCGCCTCCGGTTGATGGGAAGGCGAGCCCAAAGTAGCCTGGGGCTTACAGCTTCCCACACCTCACCGCCACGCTCCCACGCCCCCTTCATTCTTTTGTTCAAAAGAAGACCCACACCCTGTTGTTTGGCAGTCTGCTGCCCCGAGTAGAGGACTGTCCACCCCTCATGGTGGCAGGAGCCAGAGCCGGTCCACCGGACCTCCTGAATGCCGCATAGATCCAGGCGGTACCGGTCCAGCTCCCGACAGAGGAGTGGCAGCCTCTCCTCTGCAGTGAGCGTTCGAACATTCCACGTGGCCACCCGTAGTGGCTTTTCGCTGTTTCTGGAGTAGCCCCGAGGGTAGGTATTCAATCTCCTGGCTCCGCCAATTGGGGTTTGGCCAGGAGACGTCATAGACGCCTGGCCCCCCGGGGCCTCCGGCACAAGCTTAGTTGTTACATATTTCAGTTTAATTCGTGGTTTCGTGGTAATTAATTGAAGGTGGAGGGGTTACCAGCCCCTCGCACCCGTCCAGAGCCCCCGTTTAGCCCCTGTGGTGGACACATATGCCATGAGGGGAGGAGCCAATCAAAATTGGATCTCCCCCCACAGCGCTGTCCACGACAGAGTTGCCCGTCCGGCACCGCGAGGAGGTAGGGGGTTGTTTTGCCACCACCACCATCACCACCCCCGACACCACCACCACCCACACCGCCATAACCACCCTCGCCACCACCACCACCACCCACCACCACCACCCACACCACCGCCCACCTCGCGCGCTGGTCGTAGTCCCAGGTGCCCGCCCCCAGGCTGTCGAGGGCGGAGGTGAAGGAGGGCGCATCTAGGCCGGCGTGCAGATACAGGTCCACGAGAAGCCGCTCCGCGTCCAGCACCACGCCCGGCCACGTGACCCCTGGGCGGGCACAAACGCGTCCATCACTCCGCCGACCGTCCCATACCGCGCAGCAAGCGACGAGGCTGCTGGGGCGAGCGCCGAGCTGCGTTGATCTTCCCGGGCGCCGCCGTGCGTGGCCCAACGGGCGCCGACGGGAGGTGCGGGGGAAGGGCGACAGAGGCGATGAGACGCAGAAGAAGCTGCGGTTGGTAGCGGGCAGCGGGCGGGGAACTGTGAAGGCACGGAACTGCACCCAAACCACTCGCCCAGTCACCCAGGCCAACCAAACACTCACCCAGCCACCCACCCAGCCAACCACCCACTCACTCAGCCACCCAACCACTCACCCACCCACCCAACAAACCAACCACCCACCCAGTCATCCACCCACCCAGTCATCCACCCACTCACCCACCCAACCACCCACTCACCCACCCAACCACCCACTCACCCAACCACCCACCCACCCAACCACCCACTCACCCAACCACCCACTCACCCACCCAACCATCCACTCACCCACTCACCCACCGACTCACCCACCCACCGACTCACCCACTCACCCACCCACTCACCCACCGACTCACCCACCCACCGACTCACCCACCGAGCCACCCACTCACCCACCCACTCACCCACCCACTCACCCACCCACCCACTCACCCACCCACTCACCCACCCACTCACCCACCCACTCACCCACCCACCGACTCACCCACCGACTCACCCACCGACTCACCCACTCACCCACCCACCCAATCACCCACCCACCCACCCACCCACCCACCTGCCTGCCGAGCGAGCCAGTCGAGCCCGGAGGCGACGCGCCTCGTGTCGGCGTGCCGTGCGTACACGACGCTGGCGCCGCACGCCAGCGACATCACGCTGCTCAGCATGAAGGAGTAGTCGCTGGACGCCAGCGCAAAGCCCTCCGTGGGCAGCTGGTGGCTCGTCTTGCCTGGTGACGGAGCGGGAGGGGCGGGCACGCGTGTGTGTTAACGCGAGTGTGTGTGTTGATGTGTGTGTGTGTACATGTGTGTGTGTGTGTTGACGTGTGTGTGTGTACGTGTGTGTGTGTGTACGTGTGTGTGTTGAACTTCTATCGCACCGCCGTACGTAGCCGACCGTGCTAATCGGAGGTGCGGGGGAAGGACACAAAACTGTGGGTCTCTACTGTGTGAGTAGTCTGTGGGTCTCTACTGTGTGAGTAGTCTGTGGGTCACTACTGTGTGAGTAGTCTGTGGGTCTCTACTGTGTGAGTAGTCTGTGGGTCTCTACTGTGTGAGTAGTCTGTGGGTCTCTACTGTGTGAGTAGTCTGTGGGTCTCTACTGTGTGAGTAGTCTGTGGGTGTCTACTGTGTGAGTAGTCTGTGGGTCTCTACTGTGTGAGTAGTCTGTGGGTCTCTACTGTGTGAGTAGTCTGTGGGTCTCTACTGTGTGAGTAGTCTGTGGGTCTCTACTGTGTGAGTAGTCTGTGGGTCTCTACTGTGTGAGTAGTCTGTGGGTCTCTACTGTGTGAGTAGTCTGTGGGTCTCTACTGTGTGAGTAGTCTGTGGGTGTCTACTGTGTGAGTAGTCTGTGGGTCTCTACTGTGTGAGTAGTCTGTGGGTCTCTACTGTGTGAGTAGTCTGTGGGTCTCTACTGTGTGAGTAGTCTGTGGGTCTCTACTGTGTGAGTAGTCTGTGGGTCTCTACTGTGTGAGTAGTCTGTGGGTCTCTACTGTGTGAGGAGTCTGTGGGTCTCTACTGTGTGAGTAGTCTGTGGGTCTCTACTGTGTGAGTAGTCTGTGGGTCTCTACTGTGTGAGGAGTCTGTGGGTCTCTACTGTGTGAGTAGTCTATGGGTCTCTGCTGTGTGAGTAGTCTATGGGTCTCTGCTGTGCGAGTAGTCTGTGGGTCTCTACTGTGTGAGTAGTCTGTGGGTCTCTACTGTGTGAGTAGTCTGTGGGTCTCTACTGTGTGAGTAGTCTGTGGGTCTCTACTGTGTGAGTAGTCTGTGGGTCTCTACTGTGTGAGTAGTCTGTGGGTCTCTACTGTGTGAGTAGTCTGTGGGTCTCTACTGTGTGAGTAGTCTGTGGGTCTCTAATGTGCGAGTAGTCTGTGGGTCTCTACTGTGTGAGTAACTTGTGGATCTCTACTGTGTGAGTAGTCTGTGGGTCTCTGTGTGAGTAGTCTGTGGGTCTCTGTGTGAGTAGTCTGTGGGTCTCTACTGTGTGAATAGTCTGTGGGTCTCTACTGTGTGAGTAGTCTGTGGGTCTCTACTGTGTGAGTAGTCTGTGGGTCTCTACTGTGTGAGTAGTCTATGGGTCTCTACTGTGTGAGTAGTCTGTGGGTCTCTATTGTGTGAGTAGTCTGTGGGTCTCTACTGTGTGAATAGTCTGTGGGTCTCTACTGTGTGAGTAGTCTGTGGGTCTCTACTGTGTGAGTAGTCTGTGGGTCTCTACTGTGCGAGTAGTCTGTGGGTCTCTACTGTGCGAGTAGTCTGTGGGTCTCTGTGCAGCCCTCTTACTTGTGAGCTCACATTGGTATCTGAATCCCAAAGGGATAGGACCTAAACAACAACAACAGACCGATATCAATACAACAAAGCGCTTCCAAGGACCTGCCACCAACATGACGCGCTGGCTATGAGATGTTAACTTCCTCGCCAGATGTACAGGAGGTCGTGAGTTCAATCCAGACCCTCACGATGCCTGCTGCTGTATATTTGGAGTCTCTGTCTCTCTCTATCATCATCATCATCATTACGCGTCTCTCTCTTGTCACCTCTGGTGGCATGGATTTTCCTCTCCGAGTCTTCCGCTTTTCCCGTCCACACTCAGCGCTGCGTCAACAATAACCACAAAGCAACCACCACCACCTCCGCCTCCACCACCGCCTCCACCACCACCACCGCCTCTACCACCACCACCGCCTCTACCACCACCGCCTCAACCACCACCGCCTCAACCACCACCTCCACCACCACCACCGCCTCCACCACCTCCACCGCCTCCACCACCACCACCGCCTCCACCACCACCACCGCCTCCACCACCACCACCGCCTCCACCACCACCACCACAGCCACCACCTACGCCACCACCGCCGCCTCCACCACCACCACCGCCTCCACCACCGCCTCCACCACCTCCACCGCCGCCTCCACCACCACCACCGCCTCTACCACCACCGCCTCCACCACCTCCACCGCCTCCACCACCACCACCGCCTCCACCACCACCACCACCGCCTCCACCACCACCACCACCGCCTCCACCACCACACCACCGCCTCCACCACCACACCACCGCCTCCACCACCACCGCCTCCACCACCGCCTCCACCACCTCCACCGCCTCCACCACCACCACCGCCTCCACCACCACCACCGCCTCCACCACCGCCTCCACCACCTCCACCGCCTCCACCACCACCACCGCCTCCACCGCCGCCACCACCACCACCGCCTCCACCACCACCACCGCCTCCACCACCACCACCGCCTCCACCACCACCACCACCACCGCCTCCACCACCACCGCCTCCTCCACCACCACCACCACAGCCACCGCCTCAACCACCACCACCTCCGCCGCCGCCGCCACCACCACCACCACCACCACCTCCTCACCGCTGTCGACGAAGTGGTGTATGGAGGCGATGAGGCCTCTGCGCAGCGAGAAGCGGGCGGCCGCCAACTCGCACGGCAGGACGAGGTCACAGCCTGGCTCTTCCAGCTTCATCAGCACGTCCACCACCACCAGCTCCACGTCACACACGCCTGTACCACGTCATCACACACACAGACACACACACACACACAGACACACACACACAGACGTCACCGCTACCGCTACACCGGGTGGTCACAGCCTGGCTCTTCCAGCTTCATCAGCACGTCCACCACCACCACCAGCTCCACGTCACACACGCCTGTACCACGTCATCACACAGACACACACAGACACACACAGACGTCACCGCTACCGCTACACCGGGTGGTCACAGCCTGGCTCTTGCAGCTTCATCAGCACGTCCACCACCACCAGCTCCACGTCACACACGCCTGTACCACATCATCACACACACAGACACACACACAGACACACACACAGACGTCACCGCTACCGCTACACCAGGTGGTCACAGCCTGGCTCTTCCAGCTTCATCAGCACGTCCACCACCACCAGCTCCACGTCACACACACCTGTACCACGTCATCACACACACACACAGACGTCACCGCTACCGCTACACCGGGTGGTCACAGCCTGGCTCTTGCAGCTTCATCAGCACGTCCACCACCACCAGCTCCACATCACACACACCTGCACCTCGTCATCACACACAGACACACACAGACACACACACAGACACACACACAGACACACACACACAGACGTCACCGCTACCGCTACACCAGGTGGTCACAGCCTGGCTCTTCCAGCTTCATCAGCACGTCCACCACCACCAGCTCCACGTCACACACACCTGTACCACGTCATCACACACACAGACACACACACACACAGACACACACACACAGACGTCACCGCTACCGCTACACCAGGTGGTCACAGCCTGGCTCTTGCAGCTTCATCAGCACGTCCACCACCACCAGCTCCACGTCACACACACCTGCACCTCGTCATCACACACACAGACACACACAGACACACACAGACACACACAGACACACACACACAGACGTCACCGCTACCGCTACACCAGGTGGTCACAGCCTGGCTCTTGCAGCTTCATCAGCACGTCCACCACCACCAGCTCCACGTCATCACACGCCTGTACCTCGTCAACACACAAGCCTGCACCTCGTCAACACACAAAGCCTGCACCTCGTCAACACACAAAGCCTGCACTTCGTCAACACACAAGCCTGCACCTCGTCAACACACAAAGCCTGCACCTCGTCAACACACAAAGCCTGCACCTCGTCAACACACAAGCCTGCACCTCGTCAACACACAACCCCAACCTGTTCTTTGGGCTTATCGGGTAAAGTCACGTAGATAAGAAAAATAAAAATACAAAAATAAAATTACAAAAATAAAAATACAAAAATAAAATTACAAAAACACAAAAATTAAAACACAAAAATAAAAATACAAAAATATTAAATTACTAAAATAAAAATACAAAAATAAAATTACAAAAATACAAAAATAAAATTACAAAAATAAAAATACAAAAATAAAAAACAAAAATAAAATTACAAAAATAAAAATACAAAAATAATTACAAAAATAAAAATATAAAATGACAAAAATAAAATTACAAAAGTCAAAATACAAAAGTCAAAATACAAAAATAAAAGCAAAACCCCCACGACAGGCTGCGGGGGGCCGAGTGATCGTTCCTAGCGAGCGGCACACAAAGTGGTGGGTGACCCAGGCACCACCACCACCACCACCACGCCCGCCCGCCTTTGTCTCTCCCCCGGTGGCGATGTTTACTGCTACAAAGTGACTCCTACTGACGCTACTGCTACGCCCGCGATTTTTTTCGCGATTTGAAAAGTCCCGTCACTTGCCTATTGGTATTGTTTAGTTTTGTATTACAACTTTATTTAAGTTAACGATTGTCCGATTCACATTCTTGGTTCTTTTCGGTACGCAGGCGGTCGTGGGATCGATCCCGACCCTGACCCCTGCTGTATATTTGGAGTCTGCGTCTCTCTCTCATCATCATCATCATCACGGTGGCTAGATGTTGACTACCTCGCCTGGTCTACAGGAGGTCTATGTGGAGTCTGCGTCTCTCTCATCATCATCATCACGGTGGCTATGAGATGTTGACTACCTCGCCTGGTCTACAGGAGGTCTATGTGGAGTCTGCGTCTCTCTCATCATCATCATCACGGTGGCTAGGAGATGTTGACTACCTCGCCTGGTCTACAGGAGGTCTATGTGGAGTCTGCGTCTCTCTCATCATCACGGTGGCTAGGAGATGTTGACTACCTCGCCTGGTCTACAGGAGGTCTATGTGGAGTCTGCGTCTCATCATCATCATCACCACGCTGGCTAGGAGATGTTAACTACCCCGCCCGGTACGCAGGCGGTCGTGGGATCGATCCCGACCCTGACCCCTGCTGTATATTTGGAGTCTGCATCTCTCTCATCATCATCACGCTGGCTAGGAGATGTTGACTACCTCGCCTGGTCTACAGGAGGTCTATGTGGAGTCTGCATCTCTCTCATCATCATCACGCTGGCTAGGAGATGTTGACTACCTCGCCTGGTCTACAGGAGGTCTATGTGGAGTCTGCGTCTCTCTCATCATCATCATCACGCTGGCTATGAGATGTTAACTACCTCGCCTGGTCTACAGGAGGTCTATGTGGAGTCTGCGTCTCTCTCATCATCATCACCACGCTGGCTAGGAGATGTTGACTACCTCGCCTGGTACACAGGAGGTCTATGTGGAGTCTGTGTCTCTCTCATCATCATCACGGTGGCTAGGAGATGTTGACTACCTCGCCTGGTACACAGGAGGTCTATGTGGAGTCTGTGTCTCTCTCATCATCATCACGGTGGCTATGAGATGTTAACTACCTCGCCTGGTCTACAGGAGGTCTATGTGGAGTCTGCGTCTCTCTCATCATCATCATCACGGTGGCTAGATGTTGACTACCTCGCCTGGTACACAGGAGGTCTATGTGGAGTCTGTGTCTCTCTCATCATCACGGTAGTTAGGAGATGTTAACTACCTCGCCTGGTCTACAGGAGGTCTATGTGGAGTCTGTCTCTCTCTCATCATCATCATCACCACGCTGGCTATGAGATGTTGACTACCCCGCCCGGTACGCAGGCGGTCGTGGGGTTCCATCCCGACCCTGACCAACGCCCCCCCCCCCCCCCCCAATAGGTCCGCTCGCGACGGTGAAAAGGGGCGCGGGGGCCTCACCGTCTCCCGGAGGCCACGACTCCACCACCGCGCGGCGAGCCTCCTCCTTCCTCGCGATTCGCTCCGCCTCCTCCTCCTCCTTCTCGGCGGCCTGGGCGGGTACGCGAGACGCACAAAGAGGTCCTCACCCCCACCCAACCACTCACCAACCACCACCGCAAAACCTTGGCAACACCGCCGCAGGGGGAGCGACAAGCGAAGCAATTGGCGGGGCCCCGGGGGTGGGTCCCATCGCTGCTGCACCACCCCGGGGTGGGAAAAACCGCGTAGGGGACACGAGCCTCGTCGCCTTACCGACTTTTAAACAACAACAACGACGACGGAAAAAAGCCAAACCACACCGCGGTCAACCGATCGGCCTCTCGCGCGGAGAAGCTACTCCGGGGACGGCGCCCCAAGATTTCGTGGCAAAGTCGAAACGTCGCGCTAAACACGTTCAAAGTCGCTGGACCCGGGGGGCATCCGCCGGATCTGTGTCCCCCCTCTCTCCACGGCGGAGACGTTCACCCCACGTCACCGCGCCTGGGTGTACGGCTCGCTCGGGGCCCAGAGCAGCGCCTCGCACGGCACTGTGGCGCGCGAGGTGGGTGGGTGGGTGGGTGGTCGGCCTTGGGGAGGGGCCCAGGGACCGGTTCGTTCAGCTCGTCGGGATTCGTCCCGCAGCCTAAATGAAGACCCCGAGCGTCGCCGTCGCCGCCATCGCCATCGCCACAGCGCCGCCATCATCGCATCATCCTCAGTGCTGACAAAAGTGTCCCGATGGCCACCACCAGCTCATGTCACCGACGACACCCGTCCAAAACCACCACCTCGTCCCCGCCGCCGCCGCCGCCACCACTAACCACCAACCACCACCTCGTCCCCACCAACCCCCCACCACCACCACTAACCACTACCACCACCACCACTAACCACTAACCACTACCACCACCACCACCACCGCCTCGTCCCCACCAACCCCCCACCACCACCACTAACCACTACCACCACCTCGTCCCCACCAACCCCCCACCACCACCACTAACCACTAACCACCACCACCCACTACCACCACCACCACCACCACCACCTCGTCCCCACCAACCCCCCACCACCACCACTAACCACTACCACCACCACCCACTACCACCACCACCACCTCGTCCCCACCACCCTCCCCCCACCACCACCACCCCCGCACCGCCTCGACCACACCGCCAACACCGCCAACACCGCCAACACCGCCCGCGACATTCGCCACCAAGCGGCGGTGACGTCGCCACGGCGCCCGTGCCGGGCGCACCCGGAGGACTCGTGATGACAGGAGGTCACGTGCCGACAGGTCACGGTACAGGAGGACACGGGCCGACAGGAGGACATGGGACAGGTCACGGGACAGGAGGTCACGGGACAGGTCACGGGACAGGAGGTCACGGGCCGAAAGGAGGTCACGGTACAGGAGGACACGGGCCGACAGGAGGACACGGGACAGGTCACGGGACAGGAGGTCACGGGACAGGTCACGGGACAGGAGGTCACGGGCCGAAAGGAGGTCACGGTACAGGAGGACACGGGCCAACAGGAGGACACGGGACGACAGGAGGACACGGGACGACAGGAGGACACGGGACGACAGGAGGTCACGGGACAGGAGGTCACGGGACAGGAGGTCACGGGACAGGAGGTCACGGGACAGGAGGTCACGGGCCGACAGGAGGTCACGGGACAGGAGGTCACGGGACAGGTCACGGTACAGGAGGTCATGTGCCGACAGGAGGTCACGGTACAGGAGGTCACGTGCCGACAGGAGGTCCCGTGAGGGACCCGTCCGGCCCGGCGCTCCGCCCCGCCGCCCTCGCGAGCCGTGTCGCTCCTCCGCCCTCGCCGGAGGGCGAGCCGCCTCCAACTGCCCGGTAGCGGCGGTGTCCGTCACGAGCCTCCGCCTCCACCACCGCCTCCGCCTCCACCACCGCCTCCACCACCACCGCCACCACCACCACCACCGACACCACCACCACCACCACCACCGCCTCCACCACCGACACCACCACCACCACCGCCACCACCACCACCACCACCACCGCCACCACCACCACCGCCACCACCACCACCACCACCCACCACTATTCACCTGCTGGCGCCTGCGGTCGTTGCTGCCTCTTGCCACGGTTCCCGCCTGCAGCATCACGGGCAGCTGCCAGCAACTCTCCTCCCGCTTGGACGGCCGATAGCGGCGCTTCCCCTCATCGTCCAGAGCCTTCGTCATCATCAGCATCATCGTCGTCGCATCATCATCATCATCATCATCGTCGCAAACACCATCGCCCGCCATCATCATCACATCATCATCGCAAACACCATCACCCGCCATCATCATCATCATCATCGTCGCAAACACCATCACCCGCCATCATCATCATCGTCGCAAACACCATCGCCCGCCATCATCATCGCATCATCCTCATTGCTGACATCATCATCATCATCATAGCGAAACACCATCGCTGCCGTCATCATCATCGCCATCGCCATCATCATCATCACCGACATCATCGCAAACATCATCGCCGTCGTCATCATTAGGCAGAGAGATTGGGGAGACGAGCGAGTTAATGTCACCTCTATGTGTAACAACACAAGCTGCGGCGCTGCCAACTGCACTAAAATTATAAATGTTGTAGCGGATTCACTCTCCAACACACAGCCGGTTGGTGCTGTACTAGTATACTACACTATACACTACACTATACACCACACACTACACTATATACTACACACGACACTATACACCCCACAATACACTACTACACACTACACTATAATTATAAATGTTGTAGTGGATTCACTCTCCAACACACAGCCGGTTGGTGCTGTACTAGTATACTACACTATACACCACACACTATATACTACACACGACACTATACACCCCACAATACACTACTATACACTACACTATAATTATAAATGTTGTAGTGGGTTTACTCTCCAACACACAGCCGGTTAGTGCTGTACTAGTATACTACACTATACACTACATCATACACTACACTATACACCACACACTACACTATACACCACACTACACTATACACTACAATACATTGTACACTACACTATAATTATAAATGTTGTAGTGGATTCACTCTCCAACACACAGCCGGTTGGTGCTGTACTAGTATACTACACTATACACTACATCATACACTACACTATACACCACACACTACACACCCCACTATACACTACACTACACACTCCACTATACACTACACTACTATACACTATACTACACACTACTATACACAACACTATACAGCACACTACTATACACCACACACTACACTATACACTACTATACACTACTCTATACACTACACTATACACCACACACTATACACTACACTTTACACCACACTATACACTACACACTACTATACACAATATACACTACACTATACACCACACCATAATTATAAATGTTGGAGTGGGTTTACTCTCCAACACAGCCAGTTAGTGCTGTACTAGTATACTACACTATACACTACACTATACACTACATACCGCCCCCTATGTGTGTCTCTTTTTTTGTGCGAGTCTCTCTTGCTTGTGTGTCTCTGTTTGTCTGTGTGTCTCTCTGTGTCTGTCTGTGTGTCTGTCTGTGTGTCTGTCTGTGTGTCTGTCTGTGTGTCTGTCTGTGTGTCTGTCTGTGTGTCTGTCTGTGTGTGTCTGTCTTCGCCGGTTAGAAACATTTAGGCTGGCCTGCCTACGATCCATCCTGGGTTTAACCAGACTGGATTGTGTGAGGAGCTCACAAATCCTTGAAAGATCTGGGCAAGGTCCCATCGGTGAGCTCCTCTGGCAGGCAAGGCTGCGTTGGCTGGGTCATGTAGCCCGCATGCCCAGCCACCGCAT